GATGGACTATAGCAGCCTCAGACACGTGATGTACGACTCATTAGACCGTCTCTGTGACCTCCTGTATATTCTGACCACTAGCGATTTTATATAAATGCACCATCCAGATACGTGTGTAAGCACATGTAAGCATACACACGTATCTTCAGAGGAATACGAAGAGTTCTGGACGCTATAAACTTGACAATTTTCTGGTCCAGAATATTGTTCATAATCTTGAAGGTCAATATAATTTTCACACAAATACATAGCGTGTTCTTTGCCAGGTAATTAATTTAACTTGATGTTGGACTAATGCATGCGAGAGACTGGTTTTTATGGTGTTGGCACCTCGGGCTCTAACTGAAATGTTACCTCACTGTTTAAAACTGAAAATGTGCTTCTCTTGTCTATTTTTTCCAATTTTTCTGGAGTTATGTGTGTAAGTACAAGAAAACGTATATATATATATATTAATATATATATATATATATATATATATTTATATATATATATATATATATATATATATATATATATATATATATATATATGTGTGTGTGTGTGTGTGTGTGTGTGTGTGTGTGTGTGTGTGTGTGTGTGGTGTGTGTGTGTGTGTGTGTGTGTGTTTGTGTGTGTGTGTGTACTCACCTAGTTGAGGTTGCGGGGGTCGAGTCCGAGCTCCTGGCCCCGCTATTCACTGATCGCTACTAGGTCACTCTCCCTGAGCCGTGAGCTTTAGCATACCTCTGCTTAAAGCTATGTATGGATCCTGCCTCCACTACATCGCTTCCAAACTATTCCACTTACTGACTACTCTGTGGCTGAAGAAATACTTCCTAACATCCCTGTGATTCATACTGTGTCTTCAGCTTCCAACTGTGTCCCTTGTTACTGTGTCCCATCTCTGGAACATCCTGTCTTTGTCCACCTTGTCAATTCCTCTCAGTATTTTATATGTCGTTTATCATGTCCCCCCTATCTCTCCTGTCCTCCAGTGTCCTCAGGTTGATTTCCCTTAACCTCTCCTCGTAGGACATACCTCTTAGCTCTGGGACTAGTCTTGTTGCAAACCTTTGCACTTTCTCTAGTTTCTTTACGTGCTTGGCTAGGTGTGGGTTCCAAACTGGTGCCGCATACTCCAATATGGCCTAACGTACACGGTGTACAGGGTCCTGAACGATTCCTTATTAAGATGTCGGAATGCTGTTCTGAGGTTTGCTAGGCGCCCATATGCTGCAGCAGTTATTTGGTTGATGTGCGCTTCAGGAGATGTGCCTGGTGTTATACTCACCCCAAGATCTTTTTCCTTGAGTGAGGTTTGTAGTCTCTGGCCCCCTAGACTGTACTCCGTCTGCGGTCTTCTTTGCCCTATCCCCAATCTTCATGACTTTGCACTTGGTGGGATTAAACTCCAGGAGCCAATTGCTGGACCAGGTCTGCAGCCTGTCCAGATCCCTTTGTAGTTCTGCCTGGTCTTCGATCGAGTGAATTTTCTCATCAACTTCACGTCATCTGCAAACAGGGACACCTCATAGTCTTTCCTTCCGTCATGTCGTTCACAAATACCAGAAACAGCACTGGTCCTAGGACTGACCCCTGTGGGACCCCGCTGATCACAGGTGCCCACTCTGACACCTCGCCACGTACCATGACTCGCTGCTGTCTTCCTGACAAGTATTCCCTGATCCATTGTAGTGCCTTCCCTGTTATCCCTGCTTGGTCCTCCAGTTTTTGCACCAATCTCTTGTGTGGAACTGTGTCAAACGCCTTCTTGCAGTCCAAGAAAATGCAATCCACCCACCCCTCTCTCTTTGTCTTACTGCTGTCACCATGTCATAGAACTCCAGTAGGTTTGTGACACAGGATTTCCCGTCCCTGAAACCATGTTGGCTGCTGCTGATGAGATCGTTGCTTTCTAGGTGTTCCACCACTCTTCTCCTGATAATCTTCTCCATGATTTTGCATACTTTACATGTCAGTGACACTGGTCTGTAGTTTAATGCTTCATGTCTGTCTCCTTTTTTAAAGATTGGGACTACATTTGCTGTCTTCCATGCCTCAGGCAATCTCCCTGTTTCGATAGATGTATTGAATATTGTTGTTAGGGGTACACATAGCGCCTCTGCTCCCTCTCTCAATACCCATGGGGAGATGTTATCTGGCCCCATTGCCTTTGAGGTATCTAGCTCACTCAGAAGCCTCTTCACTTCTTCCTCGGTTGTGTGCACTGTGCCCAGCACATGGTGGTGTGCCCCACCTCTCCGTCTTTCTGGAGCCCCTTCTGTCTCCTCTGTGAACACTTCTTTGAATCTCTTGTTGAGTTCCTCACATACTTCACGGTCATTTCTTGTTGTCTCTCCTCCTTCCTTCCTTAGCCTGATTACCTGGTCCTTGACTGTTGTTTTCCTCCTGATGTGGCTGTACAACAGTTTCGGGTCAGATTTGGCTTTCGCTGCTATGTCGTTTTCATATTGTCTTTGGACCTCCCTTCTTATCTGTGCATATTCGTTTCTGGCTCTACGACTGCTCTCCTTATTGTCCTGGGTCCTTTGCCTTCTATATTTCTTCCATTCCCTAGCACACTTGGTTTTTGCCTCCCTGCACCTTTGGGTAAACCATGGGCTCATCCTGGCTTTTTCATTATTCCTGTTACCCTTGGGTACAAACCTCTCCTCAGCCTCCTTGCATTTTGTTGCTACATATTCCATCATCTCATTAACTGGCTTCCCTGCCAGTTCTCTGTCCCACTGAACCCCGTTCAGGAAGTTCTTCATTCCTGTGTAGTCCCCTTTCTTGTAGTTTGGCTTCATTCGTCCTGGCCTTCCTGCTTCTCCCTCCACTTGTAGCTCTACTGTGTATTCGAAGCTTAAAACCACATGGTCACTGGCCCCAAGGGGTCTTTCATATGTAATGTCCTCGATATCTGCACTACTCAAGGTGAATACTAAGTCCAGCCTTGCTGGTTCATCCTCTCCTCTCTCTCTCTCTTGTAGTGTCCCTTACGTGTTGGCACATGAAGTTTTCCAGTACCACCTCCATCATCTTAGTCCTCCATGTATCTTGGCCCCCATGTGGGTTCAAGTTCTCCCAATCGATCTCCTTGTGGTTAAAGTCACCCATGATCAGGAGCTTTGCCCTGCATGCATGAGCTCTTCTGGCCACTCTAGCCAGTGTGTCAACCATCGCTCTATTGCTCTCGTCGTACTCTTGCCTTGGCCTCCTGCTGTTCTGTGGTGGGTTATACATCACTGCTATTACCACCTTGGGATCTCCAGAGTGAAGCGTTCCCGCTATGTAATCACTTTCTTCTCCGCTGTCTCCTCTCTCCAGCTCATCAAAATTCCAGCGATTTTTGATCAGCAATGCCACTCCTCCCCCCCCTGTTCCCTCTGTCTTTCCTCAGGATTTGGTATCCCGTTGGAAAAATGGCATCTGTTATCATACCTGTGTGTGTGTGTGTGTGTGTGTGTGTGTGTGTGTGTGTGTGTGTGTGTGTGTGTGTGTGTGTGTGTGTGTGTGTAGCTCAAGTACTTTCACACTTCTTAGTACATCATCAAGAGCTGTATAACATTGCAAGAGAGCAACTAAAGCAGGGAGAGTTCTCAGCGTAGCGTAGTACGGATTCTAAGGGAAACTGTGGACGGTGACACATCCGCACTACGCTACCCTGAGAACTCTCTGCTTTAGTTGCTCTCTTGCAACGTTGCACAGCTCTTGATGATGTACTAAGAAGTGTGAAAGTACTTGAGCTACAGATTTCCACCCCCTTCCTTCCGTGGCTTGTCTTGCATAGTTAAGATCGCCCGTCTGCGATTGTTTGCATATATATATATATATATATATATATATATATATATATATATTATATATATATATATATATATATATATATATATATATATATATATATATATATATATATATGTATGTATGTATATATATATATATATATATATATATATATATATATATATATATATATATATATATATATATATATATATATATATATATATATATATCCAAGGTAGTAGGTTGGTAGACAGCAACCGCCCAGGGAGGTACTACCGTCCTACAAAGTGAGTGTAAAATGGAAGCCTGTAATTGTTTTACATGATAGTAGGATTGCTGGTGTCTTTTTTCTATCTTATAAACATGCAGATTTCAGGTACATCTTGCTACTTCTACTTACATTTAGGTCACACTACACATGCATGTACAAGCATATATATATATATATATATATATATATAATATTATATATTATATATATATATATATATATATATATATATTATATATATATTATACACACCCCTCTTAATTTTCTTCTTTTTCTTACTAGTTCTTGTTCTTGTTTATTTCCTATCATCTCCATGGGGAAGTGGAACAGAATTCTTCCTCCGTAAGCCATGCATGTTGTAAGAGGCGACTAAAATGCCAGGAGCAAGGGGCTAGTAACTACTTCTCCTGTATATATTACTAAATGTAAAAGGAGAAACTTTTGTTTTTCTTTTTGAGCCACCCTGCCTCGGTGGAGTACTGCCGGTGTGTTGAAAGAAAGGAGAGAGAATATATATATTAAGGAATTCACTTGCGAGTGGTTTTAAGCAAATAATACTGAGACTTCCCGGGAATCGAAACCCCGATCCTTCAGCATGCCTCGTGAGAAGCCCGCCAAAATTCCGAAATACCTTAGTCCACTCGGCCATCAATGCTACAGACATCAGGTGCCCAGTGCCACTGGACATGTCACCCCTGATGCCAGCACATACGTGGTCATGGAAGCTACTGGACTAATTTCAATCTCCTCCAGTTTGGATACCAGTCTTGACGAGCAGTACACGCGTTAATGCATCCACAAACGAGTGGTTTTAAGCTAAAGCCACGTATATGTTGGCATCAGGGGTGACATGTCCAATGGAACTGGGTACCTGATGTCTGAAGCATTGATGGCCGAGTGGACTAAGGTATCTCCGAATTTTGGCAGGGCTCCCCGGAGATCAGCTAAATTATCGGGGATCAATTCCCGGCTAGTCGCAATGTGTGTGTGTGCGTGTGTATGTTTGTACACTCAAACACAACCTAGCCTGAAACGTTTGTGAAATTATGAACAGACGGTATAAAGCAGAGTTCTTGCCCCTCGGACTTACGCAGACAGAGTTGACGTCAGAGGTGTGTCCCCAGAAGGTCTGCTTGCAGGTCTTGGTGTCCCGCAGGTCCCAGACCTTGATGGTTCGGTCTACAGAACCCGTGGCGAAGCAGCTCTGGTCCGGCGCCAGACTCATGGTGGCTACGTCTCCGCTGTGACCGAAAAATTCATTCACTTTCTTGCCCGTCTTCAGATCCCAGTGAATCCTGTAGCAGGAAGAGGCAAAACGTGAGAGTAAGTAAGTGGGTAAGTAAGTAAGTAGGTACGGAAGTAGATAACTAAGTAGGCAAGTTTATTTAAGTACAGGTACACATAAGTACAGTCACACAAATTTATGTGAGTACAGTTATTATACATGTAACATGTGTGTGTCAGGGTCCACCAGGATAACCCAAGACACTTAGAGGAAGTGACTGATTTCCATTTAGATCCTGGAAAAGAAAGTGGAGAGAGGGAGTTATGGAGGAGAGAGTGTTGGGAGTGATAGTTACACAGTGGGAAATCTGTCAGCCTGAGCTGGGAGGCTTCAGTAGTGTCGGTCTGAGCGGGGACACTACAGTAGTGTCGGTCTGAGCTGGGAGACTACAGTAGTGTCAGTCTGAGCTGGTAGACTGCAGTAATGTCAGTCTTAGCTGGGACACTACAGTAGTGTCGGTCTGAGCTGGGAGACTACAGTAGTGTCAGTCTGAGCTGGGACACTGCAGTAATGTCAGTCTTAGCTGGGAGACTGCAGTAATGTCAGTCTTAGCTGGGAGGCTTCAGTAGTGTCAGTCTGAGTTGGGAGACTACAGCAGTGTCAGTCTGAGCTGGAAGACTACAGTAGTGTCAGTCTTAGCTGGGAGACTACAGTAGTGTCAGTCTGAGCTGGGAGACTACAGCAGTGTCAGTCTTAGCTGGGAGACTACAGTAGTGTCAGTCTGAGCTGGGAGACTACAGTAGAGTCAGTCTGAGCTGGAAGACTACAGTAGTGTCAGTCTTAGCTGGGAGACTACAGTAGTGTCAGTCTGAGCTGGGAGACTACAGCAGTGTCAGTCTGAGCTGGAAGACTACAGTAGTGTCAGTCTGAGCTGGGAGACTACAGTAGTGTCAGTCTGAGCTGGAAGACTACAGTAGTGTCAGTCTGAGCTGGGAGTCTACAGTAGTGTCAGTCTGAGCGGGGAGACTACAGTAGTGTCAATCTTAGCTGGGAGACTACAGCAGTGTCAGTCTGAGCTGGGAGACTACAGTAGTGTCAGTCTGAGCTGGGAGACTACAGTAGTGTCAGTCTGAGCTGGAAGACTACAGTAGTGTCAGTTTGAGCTGGGAGATTACAGTAGTGTCAGTCTGAGCTGGAAGACTACAGTAGTGTCAGTCTGAGCTGGGAGATTACAGTAGTGTCAGTCTGAGCGGGGAGACTACAGTAGTGTCAATCTTAGCTGGGAGACTACAGCAGTGTCAGTCTGAGCTGGGAGACTACAGTCGTGTCAGTCTGAGCTGGGAATGACTACAGTAATGTCAGTGTGAGTTGGGAGACTACAGTAGTGTCAGTCTGAGCTGGAAGACTAAAGTAGTGTCAGTCTGAGCTGGGAGACTACAGCAGTGGCAGTCTGAGCTGGGAGACAACAGTAGTGTCAGTCTGAGCTGGAAGACTACAGTAGTGTCAGTCTGAGCTGAAAGACTACAGTAGTGTCAGTCTGAGCTGGGAGACTACAGTAGTGTCAGTCTGAGCTGGGAGACTACAGTAGTGTCAGTCTGAGCTGGGAGACTACAGTAGTGTCAGTCTGAGCTGGGAGACTACAGTAGTGTCAGTCTGAGCTGGGAGACTACAGTACCGTCAGCCTGAGCTGGAAGACTACAGTAGTGTCAGTCTTAGCTGGGAGACTACAGTACGTCAGTCTGAGCTGGGAGACTACAGTAGTGTCAGTCAGAGCTGGGAGACTACAGTAGTGTCGGTCTGAGCTGGGAGACTACAGTAGTGTCAGTCTGAGCTGGGAGACTACAGTAGTGTCAGTCTTAGCTGGGAGACTACAGTAGTATCAGTCTGAGCTGGGGGACTACAGTAGTGTCTGTCTGAGCTGGAAGACTACAGCAGTGTCAGTCTGAGCTGGGAGACTACAGTAGTGCCAGTCTGAGCTGGGAGACTACAGTAGCGTCAGTCTTAGCTGGGAGACTACAGTAGCGTCAGTCTTAGCTGGGAGACTATAGTAGTGTCAGTCTGAGCTGGGAGAATACAGTAGTGTCAGTCTTAGCTGGGAGACTACAGAAGTGTCAGTCTGAACAGGGAGACTTCAGAAGTGTCAGTCTTAGCTGGGAGACTACAGTAGTGTCAGTCTGAGCTGGGAGACTACAGTAGTGTCAGTCTGAGCTGGGAGACTACAGTACTGTCAGTCTGAGCTGGGAGACTACAGTAGCGTCAGTCTGAGCTGGGAGACTACGGTAGTGTCAGTCTGAGCTGGGAGACTACAGTAGTGCCAGTCTGAGCTGGGAGACTACAGTAGCGTCAGTCTTAGCTGGGAGACTACAGTAGCGTCAGTCTTAGCTGGGAGACTACAGTAGTGTCAGTCTGAGCTGGGAGAATACAGTAGTGTCAGTCTTAGCTGGGAGACTACAGAAGTGTCAGTCTGAACAGGGAGACTTCAGAAGTGTCAGTCTTAGCTGGGAGACTACAGTAGTGTCAGTCTGAGCTGGGAGACTACAGTAGTGTCAGTCTGAGCTGGGAGACTACATTAGCGTCAGTCTGAGCTGCGAGACTACAGTAGTGTCAGTCTGAGCTGGGAGACTACAGTAGTGTCAGTCTGAGCTGGGAGACTACAGTACCGTCAGTCTGAGCTGGAAGACTACAGTAGTGTCAGTCTGAGCTGGGAGATTACAGTACCGTCAGTCTGAGCTGGGAGACTACAGTAGTGTCAGTCTGAGCTGGGAGCCTACAGTAGTGTCAGTCTGAGCTGGGAGACTACAGTAGTGTCAGTCTGAGCTGGGAGACTACAGTAGTGTCAGTCTGAGCTGGGAGACTACAGTAGTGTCAGTCTGAGCTGGGAGCCTACAGTAGTGTCAGTCTGAGCTGGGAGACTACAGTAGTGTCAGTCTGAGCTGGGAGACTACAGTAGTGTCAGTCTGAGCTGGGAGACTACAGTAGTGTCAATCTGAGCTGGGAGACTACAGTAGTGTCAGTCTGAGCTGGAAGACTACAGTAGTGTCAGTCTTAGCTGGGAGACTACAGTAGTGTCAGTCTGAGCTGGGAGACTACAGTAGTGTCAGTCTGAGCTGGGGGACTACAGTAGTGTCAGTCTGAGCTGGGAGACTACAGTAGTGTCAGTCTTAGCTGGGAGACTACAGTTGTGTCGGTCTGAGCTGGGAGACTACAGTAGCGTCAGTCTGAGCTGGGAGACTACAGTAGCGTCAGTCTGAGCTGGGAGACTACAGTAGTGTCAGTCTGAGCTCTGAGACTACATTAGTGTCAGTCTGAGCTGGGAGACTACAGTAGTGTCAGTTTGAGTTGGGAGACTACATTAGCGTCAGTCTGAGCTGGGAGACTACAGTAGTGTCAGTCTGAGCTGGGAGACTACAGTAGTGTCAGTCTGAGCTGGGAGAATACAGTAGTATCAGTCTTAGCTGGGAGACTACAGAAGTGTCAGTCTGAACTGGGAGACTTCAGAAGTGTCAGTCTTAGCTGGGAGACTACAGTAGTGTCAGTCTGAGCTGGGAGACTACAGAAGTGTCAGTCTTAGCTGGGAGACTACAGTAATGTTAGTCTGAGCTTGGAGACTACAGTAGTGTCAGTCTTAGCTGGGAGACTACAGTAGTGTCAGTCTGAGCTGGGAGACTACAGAAGTGTCAGTCTTAGCTGGGAGACTACAGTAGTGTCAGTCTGTGCTTGGAGACTACAGAAGTGTCAGTCTTTGCTGGGAGACTACAGTAGCGTCAGTCTGAGCTGGGAGACTACAGTAGTGTCAGTCTGAGCAGGGAGACTACAGTAGTGTCAATCTGAGCTGGGAGACTACAGTAGCGTCAGTCTGAGCTGGGAGTCTACAGAAGTGTCAGTCTTAGCTGGGAGACTACAGTAGAGTCAATCTGACCTGGGAGACTACAGTAGTGTCAGTCTTAGCTGGGAGACTACAGTAGTGTCAGTCTGAGCTGGGAGACTACAGAAGTGTCAGTCTTAGCTTAGAGACTACAGTAGTGTCAGAATGATCTCGGAGACTACAGTAGTGTCAGTCTTACCTGGGAGACTACAGTAGTGTCAGTCTGAGCTGGGAGACTACAGAAGTGTCAGTCTTAGCTGGGAGACTACAGTAGTGTCAGTCTTAGCTGGGAGACTACAGAAGTGTCAGTCTGAGCTGGGAGACTACAGTAGTGTCAGTCTTAGCTGGGAGACTACAGTAGTGTCAGTCTTAGCTGGGAGACTACAGAAGTGTCAGTCTTAGCTGGGAGACTACAGTAGTGTCAGTCGTAGCTGGGAGACTACAGTAGTGCCAGTCTTAGCTGGGAGGCTACAGAAGTGTCAGTCTTAGCTGGGAGACTACAGTAGTGTCAGTCTTAGCTGGGAGACTACAGAAGTGTCAGTCTTAGCTGGGAGACTACAGTAGTGTCAGTCTTAGCTGGGAGACTACAGTAGTGTCAGTCTTAGCTGGGAGACTACAGTAGTGTCAGTCTTAGCTGGGAGACTACAGTAGTGTCAGTCTTAGCTGGGAGACTACAGTAGTGTCAGTCTTAGCTGGGAGACTACAGAAGTGTCAGTCTTAGCTGGGAGACTACTGTAGTGTCAGTCTTAGCTGGGAGACTACAGAAGTGTCAGTCTTAGCTGGGAGACTACAGTAGTGTCAGTCTGAGCTGGGAGACTACAGTAGTGTCAGTCTTTGCTGGGAGACTACAGTAGTGCCAGTCTTAGCTGGGAGACTGCAGAAGTGTCAGTCTTAGCTGGGAGACTACTGTTGTGTCAGTCTTAGCTGGGAGACTACAGAAGTGTCAGTCTTAGCTGGGAGACTACAGTAGTGTCACTCTGAGCTGGGAGACTACAGTAGTGTCAGTCTGAGCTGGAAGACTACAGTAGTGTCAGTCTTTGCTGGGAGACTACATTAGTGTCAGTCTTAGCTGGGAGACTGCAGAAGTGTCAGTCTTAGCTGGGAGACTACTGTTGTGTCAGTCTTAGCTGGGAGACTACAGAAGTGTCAGTCTTAGCTGGGAGACTACAGTAGTGTCACTCTGAGCTGGGAGACTACAGTAGTGT